GATGTCCTAAAGAAAGGTGATAGAAAAAGAAAATAAAACTTTTTGAATTGCCTGTAACATTTCTGGCTGAATCAAATATTCCTAGACGAAACGAAAAAGCTTATGACAGCAATTGATACAACATATAGTGGTCTGGTATTTCAGCTACTGCACACAGACACACACACACACACATATATATATATATATGTTAATTTTTTAATTTTAATGGCAAACTTTATTTTTAGTAGATACCTCTATCTGAGTGTTTTTTAAACAGTGTGGATTAAGTCTACCTGCCTGCGTACTCTAAAAAACTTAATAAAGAAAATGTGCCTCTCGGTAAGGTTTCGAACCCGCGATACACTATTTGTCGGAAAATTCACCTTCTCATCTATTGTACTTTACACTGCTCGGCCACAGAAAGCCTCACAGCCCAGCACACTGGATCAGACAGAGTTTTTTTCTTTTGTTTTTTTTTTGGGGGGCAGTGCCGCATAAAATTTACAAGCACACTCTTTCCTGCAATTTTAGTAAATCTATATACTAATAATTAAAAAGTGTTTATTTTAGAGAGTTTTTTTTAACATAATTTACTTCCTTGCTAATCCCATTTAATCCCATTTTCAATTAATCCCAATTAATCCCATTTAATCCCAACAGTCGGAATTTAAAGTCATCATTTAGATGAGAAGTGTTTGACTTATTGATACATCTGTATCCGTGTGCATCTGTGGTGTGTATATGTGTGTGTCTTGAAACGGAGTTGAAAGTGTGTACCAAGAGAAATATTTTTTTATAAGAGGATGCAGAAAAAAAAAACATGTTGGATACTGGTCATCACCACCATTATTTTGGTAATGACTAGCTTTTCATGTTATCTGTCGAAAGCAGGAATTAAACTATACCTTCGAATACAAGTCTCCTAATTATCGCGATCTTTATAGGAGAATCTTCAGCGTTTGGTGCCAATTTAACCCTCGATACAAAGAGCAGAGACCAAAATAATCGGTGCTCAAAATTCGTAGGTCCAAGCAAAAGTATCTTTCCTGATTGTTTGAATCCTATCCTACCATCAAAACAATAACCAAGCAATCAGTGAAGCAAGGATCCTTTAAATAAAGCAGTATAACATCTTCCTGTTGCAGTTTCAAAATATCAAGCTTGCTTACAGTTACATTATGTTGAAGCACAGATTCCCGTAAGATCACCAAAGTTAAGCTACTTCGAGCCTGGTCAGACCTTTAATGGATAACCGCTTGGGAATACCATTTGCTGTATGCTTGGACATGCGGGTGGTTTAATGGGTAACTGGTCGGAATTGTTAATCAAAGAGTCGTGTTCCAATTCTGGTTGGGTTTGTTATATTCACTTACGCGCAAATACTCTTGGGAAAGGTATGAATCCACCTGAAAAAGGTTGATAAGTCGTAAAAAACAAATCAGTATTGCGGTATGTGTTATTTTCATCACCCTGACTATTATATCGGCGTTATCTTGGTTATTCAATTGGTGTAGGCTTACGGTTATATCTCGTTGAAAGACCGGATCAATGTTGAGCCTGGTTAAAACGTAGATGAGTGACCGCTTGGGAATACCAAATCCTGTAAACTTGAATGTGCAAGTAAAGGCTCGGAATGAGAGTTCCAATTCTGGTCGGGTTTGTTGTATTCACTCACGTGCAAATACCCTTGACAAAGTTATGAATCCACTTCTTCTACCCCATCAGTTATAGGTTTATTTTAAGACTTGGATCACTAAATCATTATTGTTTCCAAATGATTCTTACAAGCTAAAAACATTTTGTGACTTTAATAACCTGCAAAAGGGTTGATAAGCCGTAGAAAATAAATGAATGAATCCAAAGAAACTATATTTTAACAGACAAAACGATAAAGCACTAATATGTATCATGTATCATGAAACATACATTGTGAATAAAACATTACAAAAAGATTATATTGTGTATGTGGAAAATGATCCATTGTATTTATTTTTAAATTTAATACACATTTTTCTATGCACTTTCTATATAAATCGCCCTATAAAAGATGCTACGCAAGGCACAATCAAAGAAGGAACAGGCCCTCTTCGAATATTCGAAGCACTGTCAAGAAGAGGAAAGTGTAATGGTATGGACAGGTCATAAAAACCAATAATATTTCCATTACCATCCTACATGATACCACATTATGCAAAAGAAGAAGAGGCAGGCAAAGAGAAAAATGGACTGACAACGATTCTGGGTGAACTGGAAGATCTGTCACTGAGACCCTGACTCAGTTGGCATGCAACCGAGGTATATGGAGGGAGCTGGTCAGGTACTCGGCTACAATCACACCCAATCATAGGACTGGTGATGCTCATATAAGGAGAGTAACAGATCCTTCATTTGTTTTATCAACGTAATCTGCACTCTGATTAATTGCTGTCGCTTGTGATGATGATGATGATGATGATGATGATGATGATGATGATGGTTTATGCTATAGTCCTTCGTTTCCAAAATGCGGGCAATGGGAACTTTTTCACATACCTAATAGATCGGATAAACAGTTTTCTTTTTATCAACATTTTACTTGGCCTCTGAACCAGAGTTTCTAACGAAGGCGTGTACAAAATATTTCGATGAAAAAGGGGAACCAAAATTTACGATATTCATCACTTTTGCTGTTTAGAAATTATGTCATTTCAAAAAATTGCAATCATCATCTTGCTAAAATCTAAACACTTCTTGTCCTCGAAACTAATTAGTTATATATTTGAAACTGTCCTATTAACCTATACGATGATTTATAAGACCACGCAATTTAGTTATATAAGTTTGTTGCATCGTGAAATAGATAGGTCGATAAACATTATAAAAATAGTAATAGTAAAATAGTAATTTATTCCGAATAATAATACAGTCGGGAACACAGTCTATTGGAATAACGGTTAATCGTGAACTTCACGTTAGTTTTTTTTTTTTTTTTTTTTTAAGCAGTTCACCTCAAGCAAGGCGGGATGCCACTAGTACGCAAGGGGTTACAGGATGGCAGCGAGATTAAAGAGGCGTGATGGAGGAAAGGATGAAGAGAAGGACAGGAAATAGGTCAGAGCATCTGGAGATGTCGATTGACATTGCATTTGAATAGTTGGAGATTATAGCTATCAGGGAAACAAATAACAGGAAGAGAATTCCACAGACGGGAGGTGCAAGACATGAAGCTATTGGAGTAGAAGAGACGACTACATTTAACCGTTTCGACAGGGAAAGGGTGGGACCGTGATGCCAGCCTAGTAGCACGCTTAAATTCACAGAGTCTGGGATCTAGCGCGAAAGTAGTTCGTCGGAGCAGTTACCATGAAAGTATTTGTAGAAAAGACAGAGGGAGGCAACGGCACGTTTGTGAGAGAGCGACTGTAGACGAGATGCTAGATCAGGACCAACCACATTGCTTATCCGTCTCTGGATCTTGTTACACTTCAGTATTTACCCGAAGCCTCCCCACAAGCAGGGTTTTAACGTGAGGCATTCCTCCCCACAAGGCCAGTTTTAGCGTGGGGCATTCCGAGCGAGTATGCCTCACGTTAAAACTAGCCTTGAGGTATATTTTACAACACTTAGCCTTTAAAGTTTTTATTATTAGCCGTAAGAAGAAACTTTCTGTCGTAATTTTACATTTCACGAGTAGAAAAATAATGACTATTTTGAAAAGTATTTTTTTATTATTTCTAATCAGTATTATTTTTTGATGTTTTATACACATATATTTGATGTTCTAATTTCTATAAAAACGACAATGGTAACTACTGAAATTAAACATAAGGAATAAATAAACTCCTAAGACACCTGTCTGGGCCAAAAATGCGCATTAAAAAAAATTGGCAGTTAATGAGTTAATCATATACACCAATCTCCCGATGACATCAGCATTCCAAAACTCTTTACCGTACCTTTATTCTTTGAAAAGAATATTTTCTTCTGGTGTATAAGATTTTGTAATTGTGTTTTTTCTTACTTCTTTTTTTATTTTCCTTTGGTAACAGCTTGTCTAATACCAATTTTATTTTCCTTGCGAACATTAATTCTACCGGTGACAACGCCGCATTTGTAGTTATGTTCGGAGTTACCCGATGTACTTTTAAGAATCGCAGTATCTTGTCAACAGATTCAAGAAATTTTAGACTCAAATGACTTAAGGCCACATCATTTTGAAACACTGGTACTCGTATGATCACCGAAGTTAAGCAAGGTCAAACATGGTCATTACCTAGATTAATGAACACTCGGTAATACCAAGTGCTGTAAGCTTGGATGAGCATCTGGTGCAATGGATATCGCCTCGGAATTAGAAATCGGAGAGCCAAGTTCCAATTCCAGTTGGGTTCGTTATATTCACTTGTGTTCAAATACTCTTGGAAAAGATATAAATCTATCTCTTCCCCCCAGGTATGGGTTAATTAATAGAACTTTTACCAGTACATCATTATTGTCTGCAAATAATTCTTCCAATCTAAAATATATTCTGGCTTTAAATAACATGCAAAAGGTTGATAAGCCGTAAAAACAAATCATAAGTTTAGACTTAAAACAATATACTTATCAGAACTATTATTTATTCTCATCTAATTTAACTAATATATATTTTACCACATCTACGTATTAGTTCTAAATTAAGAATCACATGAACAGGTACTGGTTCTTCTTTTTAATCATAATTTTATTCTTTGATTAAATTCATATTTGGCAAAAAATAATCGATTTAATACAACGGGTAGGTTTTAAGATCTAAAGGCCTCGACTCATCGCTCCTACAATTGATCTATGCTTGTAAGTTAAGTAGGAATAATGGAGTCTTGCCTATTAAAACTTTGGCTACGTGGGTGGTGTATCAGTTGGTTTTTGGCATGGGTTGATGGTTGACTAATAGGATGAGTGATATCCATTTAAATGTCTTCAATCGTTTCGAGGCTTTTTTTTTAAGATATATTTTTAAAAAAATATATGTAAGAATATTTGCGTTAATTGGGTTTGGATTAGTCAATTTGGAAGTGCATTAGGAAAAGGAAATAACGGAGAAAGAAAGAATGTATAGAATAAAAGAAGGGAAATATGGTTGAATGAAAGAAAAACATGAATGAAAGACAACAACAATAATGAAAGGAGGAATAAACCGGGTAAAATGAAAACAAAAATGACAACAAGTGGAAGAAGTAAAATAAAACATAAAATAGGCAAAAGTTGAAGAAAGAAATGAAAGATAATTCTACCCAAGGTAAATAATGAATGAATGACTGAAATACAAATATTTAAATCAATTGGAAATAAACAACGATCAACGAGTGAAGCTTGAAAAATTAAGAGAATTAAAAAAAAAAAAAGGAAAATCATGAATTCATAAAGGAAAAGAAGGCAGTGTGGATTTGGTTTGTTTTACGGTATATCAACCTCAATGGGTTATTTAATGCTGACAAGACTTTTATTGTTGGTAATATTTTTTCCAAAAAATTATTGCTGGTAATAATGTATTGTTGGTAATAATGTATTGTTGGTAATAATTTTTCTTCCAAATATTATTACTGGTAATATTTTTTCAAAAAAAAAATTATTGCTGGTAATAATGTATTGTTGGTAATAATTTTTCTTCAAAATATTATTGGTAATAATTTTTTGCTTCAAAATAATGTATTACTGGTAATAATTTTTTTCAAAAAATTATTGCTGGTAAATTTTTCCAAAAATAGTATTGTTGGTAATAATGTTTGTTGGTTAATTTTTCTTCAAAATATTATTGCTGGTAATATTTTTTCAAAAAAGTATTGCTGGTAATAATGTATTGTTGGTAATAATTTTTCTTCAAAATATTATTGCTGGTAATATTTTTTCACAAAAAGTATTGCTGGTAATAATGTATTGTTGGTAATCATTTTTCTTCAAAATATTATTACTGGTAATATTTTTTTACAAAAATGTATTACTGGTATTAGAAGCTATCTTTACAATTTCTTAGTTTGGGGGTTAATTATTTGCCCATAGCTGGGACCCTAACCGGTGCTACCAACTCGGGCCAGGATGGATCTGAGGAAACCAGCAATTAAGAGGTAGTTCCACGCTCCTGAAAACCTCCTGAACAGAGGCCTTGCTGCTGGATGTAGTTTATCATCATACCCAGTAAGCCTAAGAAACAGGTTCTAGAGTAAGTTCTTTAAAAAAAAAAAAAAAAAGCATGCATTTCTCTCCCTAGTATATTTTCTCTTTAACAACTGGCGATAAGATGTAGCCGCACGTGGGAAAAGTGTCCCCGTTGGGACACGTTCATTTTCATGGATTTGTGTCTTGACGTTTTGTACTCTCCGGCGTAGCCTTGTTAGCCTTTACAAGACAGACAGACACACACACACACACACACACACACACACACACACACACACACACACACAAACCACACACACAAACCACACACACAAACCACACACACAAAGCACATTCTTATAGATATTTTCATTTTCATTTCGTGTAATTCTTTTGATAACACATGCATTGGTGTTTGATTGATATTGTTGTGCTATTCATTTTTACTTGGACTCACATTAACTCTGCCAATATTGTTTTTGGGATACATTTTCCAGTCGCCCGTAAATATTTACTATCCAGTGTTGATTGATTACCGCGTCATAATAATGATTAAATATTTGCCCAAACTAGCAAAATCTGGCAGCAGTAGAAAGGAAGAATGGAAGATAGGAAACAAGGATGTATGGATTGGTTTGGTGGGATTTCCTATGACCCCTTTTGGGTTTTTTAATATTGAAATCAATCTTTTTGATTTTGTGTCAGTAAGCATTTACTTGTTTCCGGGATAGGTAAATATTGATCATTTATATTTAAGTCTGTAATTATTTACTTGGTTTAAGGATATGTATATATATTGGTCGTTTACACTTGAGTCTATAAGCATTTATTTGGTAGATGACTTATTTTGGGGGGTGGTATGAATACAGTGACTGACTCTCTTGTGTTCGGTGTATTGTAAGTCCTGTCGACAGAGCAAACAAGGAAGGAAGGAAGGAAGGCGGGGAGAAAGAAAGGAAGGAGGAGGAAAGGAAGGTGGGAAGGAAGGAGGAGGAAGGAAGGAAGGAAGGAGGAGGAAAGGAAGGTGGGAAGGAAGGAGGAGGAAGGAAGGAAGGAGGAGGGAAATAAGGAAGGAAGGAAGGAAGGAAGGAAGGAAGGAAAAAAAAGGAGGGAAGGAAGGAAGGAAGGAAGGAAGGAAGGAAGGAAGGAAGGAAGGAAATAAGAAAGGAAGGAAGGAAGGAAGGAGGGAAGGAAGGAAGGGAAGGAAGGAGGAAGGAAGGAAGGAGGGAAGGAAGGAGGAGGAAGGAAGGAAGGAAGGAAGGAGGAAGGAAGGAAGGAGGAAAGGAAGGTGGGAAGGAAGGAAGGAAGGAAGGAAGGAAAGGAAGGAAGGAAGGAAGGAAGGAAGGAAATAAGAAAGGAAGGAAGGAAGGAAGGAGGAGGGAAGGAAGGAAAAAGGAGGAAGGAAGGGAAGGAAGGAGGAAACAAAGGCAGAGAGGGAAGAAAAAAAATTCGCAGTGTGATATAAGCAAGAAGTAAGGCATGTAGCAACATCAGCACGGCAAAGGGCACTCCTTTAAAGACAAGGAAGGGCAAAAATATTTTAAGTCAAGGGATAGTGATTGCTGTATGAGTTGTACGATTTTTGAATCAAGCACAGGCAACGCCGGGCCATGCTGCTAGTTTTTAATATACAGTGCGCGATGGATAAACTGTCGTCCAAATTAAAAATGAAAATAACGCTGGCATCTCTTTTTAAGCAATATTTACCAAAATTACACAAAAATATCTTGAAATAGTAGAGAGTAAATTTATTCAATAAAATCGCAATTGCCTACAACCCTGGCCTCCAGATGACTTCGGAATCTCCTGTAATAGTTCTGAACGATCTCCTTGTTTAAATATCTGTCTATATTTCTGAGATGAGGTATTATGTACTAACCAATGCCTTTATCCATTGTGCAATGTGTGTGTCCTTAAGGACACATGGCACAGTGGATAAAGACGTTGGTTAGATCCAGTGTCAGGACCCAAAGAGTTGTGAGTTCAATACCTGGTTAAGGCAGTGGAGAACCTGAAGAGAGGAATTAACAGGAGATAACTGATAACTGACATCCATTAGACATGGCATGTAGCACTAGAACAGTCTACCCCAGTGAGCGAAAGTTCGACATTCCAACCACCTGAAGAAGGCCGGAGCGTACGACGACCGAAACGTTGTGATAAATATGGCAACAAAGATGAGGATAATAGTCCAAATAATGTAAATAGTCTCCTTGTTGAAGTTGGTGAATGCTGCCATAATTCTTGTCTTCAGTTATCTTAGGTGTTACAAGGATTTTTTTTGGTCTCTCGCTCAATTGCGCCTCACACTTACTAATCAAGGGGATTGCAGTCTGTGGTGGCCAGATGTAAGGGGTAATGTAGTCGCAGATATTGTCTGATAAACATAACTGGTTTCTCCTGCTTGTGAGGCATGGTGCAGAGTCCTGTTGCCAGACATAGGGTGTTCCAGCAGCCACCCTCTTGACCTAGGACAGCACTACATCCTCAAGGCACTTGATGTAGAACCCGTGTTGAGTCGGAAGCCCTCACCAACAAATTCAGGAGTCCTTTTTTTTTATCAGAACGATCAGAATGAGTTTTCCGAGCCACAGTACCTCAGTAATCACCATTAGACTCATCCAACTCTTTCAGTACTCATATTGACATCCAAACATTCTGAAATGTTCGTATTGAAGCTTCTGGCCTAAATACCAAGCAGTACAACATACCGTTTCCAAGTTTCTGGCTGAGTAAATTGCGTCATGGTGCTCTTTTTCTCACAGACGGCGCCCAACTGACCCTACTTTATTTTTCAGTCGATAAAATCAAAAACAAACGAAGCGCATGTGCGAAATTAAAGATATAACATGGCGACAATTTACCCGTCGCAACTTGTATATTTTAGGTGCTGAATTAAAAAAAAAAATAGTTTTTCTTCATGTAACATTTTTCCAACATTTTCAGTTTTCCCTATAAGTTCGCACGATATATATATATATATATATATATATATATATATATATATATATATATAGAGAGAGAGAGAGAGAGAGAGAGAGAGAGATAGATAGATAGATATTTTGAAATGTTCGATTCATAATTATAATAGAGTTAATTTAGAATATATATGGCATAGGCCTGGACGCTTCAACGTAGTGTAAATGTTAGTAAGCTTGTCTGGCTAGATCAAGTACGACTGAAAAGTGAGTTCGATCCTCACTGAGTGCCCTATACTTTCGCCCTTGTGCTACATCTAAGCAAGAAACAACATACGTCCGCATTACGTTGAAATACGTACGATCACCGAAGTTAAGCAACCTCGAGCCTGATCACTACCTAGATGGGATAGGCGACCGCTTGGGAATATCAGGTGCTATAAGCTTGGATGTGTGGGTGGTGTAAAGGATAATGGCTCGGAATTGTTAATTGGAGAGCGGAGTTCCAATTCTAGTCGGGTTCGTTATTTTCACTTGGGGAAATACCCTTAGGAAAAGTATGAATCCACCTCTTCCCCCTCAGTTATGGGTTAATTAGGAAGACTTCTATCACTAAACCATTATTAACTCCCCCACCCATCAAAAAAAGGAGGCACGGTAGGGTAATGGATAGCGGCTGGGATTGAGGAATCGGAGCGCCGAGTTCGAATTCCAGTCGAAACCATTATAATCACTTACATGATAAAACTCTTGGGAAAGGTATGAATCCTCATCTTCTCCCCCCAGCTATGGGTAAGTAGCAGGGAAAACTGGGTTCTATAGCTTTGGATCGCAACTGGTCTACAGCAGAAAGAAATGGCAACCTACTGCGGGGAAAAATCTGCCTCGTCAGTGATGTATCGAAAGATACATGATTGCCTAAGCGTGTATCACGCATGGCACATAACTGACACCAAAAATCTTTTTCTGGCTTTAAATAACCTGCAAATTATCTTCTTTCATCTGTGAGAAGATTGTGCAGCATCCCCTACCATATATGAGGACCGATATTCTGCAACAGTTCAGTACTCTTTTCTTTTAGTATGAAGAAACCTATAAATTCAAAATGGCTCTTTCTTATATTCTTTATACTTTATTCTTTCCCACTGCAATAAGTTATATTCGGCCTGAATATTACAGCAAATCAAATTGGCGTTTCAATAATACAACCTGCCGCGTCTACATTACAAATTTAGCCGGATATTGCACCAATCAGTTATGGACACAAAAGAATTGAAACCTTTCGTTATTATCTTATGATTATTTTCTACATCCCCAGGAAAGTTGCGCCTGTTGTCAAGCGATGGTTAACAAATTCGTCTCATGAATCCTTCCGACTAAACACGAACCTGTCCAGTTATTTTGACCTTCTGTCTTACAAAGTTAATATCTCCAAATAGAAATCGCGTCACTCTTGTACGATATTGCTCACGTGTTCGAAACTTTCTCAATGGTTCCCTACCGCTGTCTTCCTTCAAAGTAAGTTTAATAAATATTTTCAAATATAAGACCACCCGCTGTTAAGAAACAGCTATAAAATAGAAACGGGTGTAAGACAAGGAAGTGTTTTCTCACCGAACAACCTATACAGCGAGACGTTTCTGAGAGAATTCGAAGTCTTACTAGGATTCATTATTGGTGACCACTTTCTTAATATAAGTTATGCAGATGACGCAGTTTTCACAGCAAGACACGGAAAGAAAACTACAAAATCTCCTACCGAAGTTAATGAAGGTAAAGAATAAAGATCAACTGTAGGAAGACAGAATGAATGGTTGTTAGCAAAAGGATGAGCCCAAAATGTATTTTCCAAAGCTGAGATACCAAAAGCACGGAAATTTAAATATCTATGAAATGTTCTAACAAAGGACGGAAAAGGTGACACTGAGATCCGAAGGCGCATTGGGAAAGCCAAAGGTGCATTGCAAAAGCTAAGCAGTGTATTAAGAAACTTCGTTAGAATCAAAGAGTAATTAAACTGTTATGTGATATCTGTCCTCCGATATGACAATGAATGCTGGGCAATCATCTCAAAGTTGAAGAAGAAGCAGTAGAAATGTAGAAAGATACAAGAAAGGAACAAACATCAACTGCAGGAAACAGAATGAATGGTTTGTGAAGTTGAATTAAAAAGAATAAAAACTTGTTATTAAAACGGATAATTTATTATTAAAACAGATATATTTCGGAAAGCTTTTTCAATTCTTGATCACTCTTGAGTAATAAATGAAACCGTGACTAAGCTATATTGTAAATGTTATAAATTCAAAAAAAAGAAAAAATCGGAAGACATGCGTCAGCTGAAAGTGTAGGAATTGCGTAAAAGAAAGAAATGTCATTTCCAAACCAGAGTAGAAAAAAAAAAAAAAAAAAAAACGACATCTAGTTTTTTTTGTATTTTTCTTTCAAGTAGGGAAGTCCATGCTGAGTGAAGCTTTGTTGCATCAATTCTCTTACAGACATTTTCGGTACTTGCTATTATCATTTGTTCAGCTTCCCGTCTTTGGTTGAATTTGTATTGGTTGGTCAATTTTATTTCAGGTTGGTCGAAGTCTATTTTGTGACCATCTATGATGGCGTCAAGTGCAATTGCTGATGAATTCTCTTGATTTTTTTTGATCGGTTTCATTTTTTCTGACCTTAGAACAAAGACGCCAATGTTCGTTTATTCTTTCTTTTAAGGATCTAGGGGTCATACCAATATAATTTGCTGGACAATCTTTGCAATTGACTTTATAAATTAAATTGCTATTACTATCCATTGGCCGTTCGTCATTTAATCTTATGAGCTGTCGTCCAATCATGTTTAATGACGAGAACACTACTCTTATGTCGAGTAGCTTCATAATTCTTTTTATTCTGATGTGTTTTCCTCGTATGGTATGTTGACAGTCACTTTTTTTTCAGCATCATAAGTTGTCTCATCATGCGTGGTATTGTTGATTTTCTATGTTGGTGTAGCAACTGTTTAGTGAAGTTTTTATTTAGAATGAATGATTGTTAGCAAAAGGATGAGCCCAATATGCAAATTACAAATCCGATATGCCAATATGAAACAAGCACAGAAATTTAAATATCGGGGAAGTGTTCTAACGAAGAACGGAACGTGCGACATTGAAATCCGAAGAAACATTGCGATAGCCAAAGGTGCATTCTAAAATCTAAGCATAGTATTGAGAAACTTCGTTAGAAACAAAGTAAAGAACAATTAAACTGTTATGTGATATCTGTCCTTCTATATGGCAGTGAATGCTCGGCAATCACCTTAAAGATGTAGAAGAGACTTGAGCCAATAGAAATGTGGTTCTACAGAAGGATGCTGAGGATACAATAGACCGAACATGTGAGCAACGACGAAGTTTTCGAGAAAATGGAAACAAAAAGGAAACTTATACATAGCATCAGGTAAACACAGTTAAAATCTCTAGGGAACATAAGGAGAAAAAAGGGCTTGGAAAATCTGACACTCACAGGACAGACTGAAGGAAGAACGGATTGAAGAAAACAACGTGTAACAACTTAGTGAGCTTGGATAAATGAAGTTCGGGACAGCGTTTAGGAGGAATAACAGAAATACAAAATTTATTAAGAGCTACAAGGGACAGGAAGTCGTGGAGAGTCATGATCGCATATGTCCTGAGAAGACACGAAACATAAAGAAAATAGCAATATAGCAATTTAGGCTCATTACTATGTCATTACAAGGGAGAAGGTTAATCTTCTCTGTGTATCATGTGTTTGTGGTATATGGAACAGAACTTTGCATTTAGAGCTAAAAAGTCACAGGCTATATTATAACACAGCCGGCCTGGCTCGATTCGGGGTCTCTCTCACGCTGGTCAGTATTGGCACCGGCGAACTGATTTCTATCTGTTGATCGCTTTGTTCTTTCGTCTGCTTTGTCCTACGTTATTTGCTTTGATCACAATGCAGTGAAGATCGAATTTCCGACCGCACTTAAGCGCTGAATCGACTTGGCAGAACTGTGCTATGAAGAACAAGAATGCTTTTGCCGATGAAAACAAAAATATTATAAAAAATATCGAAGAATGCCGCTGGGTTAATTTTCAGTGGGTTTATATAAGCGTTGATACAACGAAATTAACCCTCCCCGTTCGACTCTCTATCTTAACACTGTATATCTTGCTTCTCTTGGAACGATATGTTAGGTCGCCGGGATTTTTCGTCATCAATTCTCCATGTCTGCAATCCTCTTCGGCAGCCATTCTCTTTGCTGCAATTCTTTTTGCTGGCTCACTTCAGCAATCCTATTCGCTGGCGCACGTCAGCAATTCTCTTCGGCAGCAGGTCACGTGACTTCTTCTAGTGTATTCCGTCCCTCTCCTGACTCGAGCGCCCTCTCCTGACTCGAGCGCCCTCTCCTGACTCGAGCGCCCTCTCCTGACTCGAGCGCCCTCGGCTGGCTTCTCGTGGCCTCTGGTCGCTTCTCGCTTCTCGCTCAAGCTGCGGCTGTTCCAGCTTCAACCGAGCGTTCGGTTTATACGTATCTCGCATAACTCTCACTACCCTTCAAAGCTCATTAAGTATTCATCAATTAATTATTCTCTCATGCCCTGGAATCATGACATCGACCCTAAAACAAAGCGGTCTGGTATTTCAAAACAATAAATTTTGTTTTTACATTCCTCTTACCTAACAATTATTGTTTACGTTAAAAAATTTTTGTATTTAAAAATTCACTTCAAATCGGCAAAGAATTATCTCTGTTTTTGTTGTGGTAGGATCCACCTAATTTGCATAGTGGAGTACCGACCATATAAATATGGTTGGTACCGGGAAGACGGGGGAGGAATCAAGAGATTCAATCCAGAGACTCTGTCCGACTGCGACTAAGTCAACACATTCTCCAGGAACGGTCTTCCCAGGAATATACAAAAGACTATATGTAAATATTGTGTACACTTTTATGTTTCAATTATTATTCCATGCATTAGTCAAGTTTCAACAGTTTTTAAAAATCCCTTTCTTTTCCCAAACAAGAATTTTCTCGTCAATACATTTTATTTCAAATCAGCAATTTCTTTTGGTTGCCGATTTATCAAATCCTGGCTTCGAGAATTCTTTTGTTTACTTTCCAAAATACACCGGATTATTTATATTCCATATTCTGTTTACATTTTCAATACGACCTAAATATTGCCCGTTATAACGGGCCGTTTTTATCAAAACAAAATTATTTCATAGCATCAGTTTATAAGAAAAAAACATTTCTTTTTTTCCCTCGCTTTATATTCCAATTCCTGTTTCTTCACTCCAAAGTATTCTTGCTTAATGTTTTCAATCCTTCCGAAGTTAGAAGATACATTGGACTTGAGAAAGAATCACACCGAAAACTAAGCGAGGTGTTGAGAAACGGAAAAAAAATCGTTAGAAATAAAGAAAAGAACGCTGGATTTCTATGTGATGTCCATCCTCATATATGACAGTGAATACTCGATAATTTCCCCTCAGACGAGGAGAAACTAGACGCAACAGATATGTCGTCCTAGAGAAGGATACTGAAAATTCCATGGAGTGAGCGAGTAAGCAACAGGTTAATCTTAAAGAAAACGGCAACAGAAAGAAGATATACACTCAGAATCAGGAAAATTTCACATAATGAGGAAATGGTTTTGGAAAACTTAACACTCACAGAGCATATTGAGGGCAAGATAAGTTCTAAAATACTACGTTGTTAATGGTCTATGAAACTAAGTTATTAACCATAACGAGTTGGTTGCTTTTATTCGTCATAGATTCCTTCATGAAAAAGTGAGGAAATGGTTATATACATGAACGTAATATAGTTACCTCAGTAAGGCACAAAGCACGTATATAGAGCATATATATATATATATATATATATATATATATATATATATATAATTTTAAAAAAATATGATTCCTTCGCTACATAAGAGTTCTCATGTTTCAAAAACGAGGGCCGAAAACTTCGTTCTCATGTTCTCATAGTACGCTAAATCGCTAACCATTGCTTCACGGTGAAGCGCTAACTAAACCTTATTTTAGTGTGGCAAATGTGTGTCACCTAACGAATATCTAACTCCATAGAAGTAGTCATATGTGATTATTCCGAAAGTGATTGCTTTGTGGAACAAATTCCCAATGAAATTCCCAATGAGGATGCTTCCAAGATCACTACAATCTTAATTTGTTCATTCTAGGATTAACCGTTATCTTCCCCACATATCGTCATAAAATGTGCCTCTTACTCTGTAAGTATCTACCTCGAGTGGCTATCGGACTATGTACAGAATCAACATCATTATAAAAAAAAGTAAATAGAACAGATTCGAAGTGCAAAACTATAGATAGATAGATAGATAGATAGATAGATAGATAGATAGATATGAATAGACAGATAGATATAGATAGATAGATAGATAGATAGATAGATAGATAGATGTGAAGACATTGTAATAAATGAATAGATCGATAGATAGATATTAGCGGCAAATTTTGTACACACAAAATCTTGAAAGAGTTTTGGAAGTTTATTCAGCCATTTTGTGTATAAGAATTGTTTGCCGAAAGTAGACACGAGAAGGTGATGCTGAAAAATTCTCTACCATTTTCCCAAAACTGATAAAATGACAAGCAAAAAAAACAAACACACGCATACACACATACATGCATACATATGAATATTGTATCCGTGTTTATAGTTGAGGTTATTGAGTGTCAGCCTTTTTAAATAAAAATTAATAATAAAAAAAGAAAAAAGGCATCACTCAATAAGATCACCTATGAACATTGCCACAATGCACTGAACGCGATTTGAAAATAAAATATTCCTATAGTTGCATTCATAAAACAATCCATACATTCAGTTAAAAGAAAAGATAAAATTAGCTTTGATAATGGCTACAAGTATAGCCGAAATTGCTCGGAAATACAGGACATTTGGACAATTTTTAAATAATTTATGTCCAGAAAAGAGTGAAATTATAAGAACACAAGGAATCTTACATAAAAAGCTTATCAGTCGTTTTAATGAAATTTGTATAAAAAAGGGATTGCTGCCCAAATACACAATTATATATATATATATATATATATATATATATATATATATATATATATATATATATTTTTTTTTTAAATATGATTCCTTCGCTACATAAGAGTTCTCATGTTTCAAAAAGGAGGGCCGAAAACCTTGTTCTCATGTTCGCATATGTTCTACATAAGAGTTCTAATGTTTTTTTTGAAACATGAGAACTCTTATGTAGCAAAGGAATCATATTTTTAAAAAAAATAATTATAATTTAAGCTCTACTTCTGTATGGAGCACTGTTTTTTAAAAATAAAAACAAAAATACTAAAAAACACCGGGTTATTTACCTAAAATGTTCTTTCCTATTTTACTACGTATCTGCACACACACACACACACACACGTACACACACACACACACACACACACACACACACATATATATATATATATATATATATATATATATATATAAAGAATTATTGGATGTATTTTTTAATGTGGCATTTTTATTATTTCAAACATTATTATAGCGGACATTGCTATGAAACGGTTTAAATATGAAGCAGTATCCACTATACTAATGTTTGAAGTAATATTTATATGTCTCCCGCTCCCTCTGTCTTTCTCTCTATTTATATATATATATATATATATATATATATATATATATATATATATATATATATATATAATAGATAGATAGAGAGAGAGAGAGAGAGAGAGAGAGAAAGTGGAAAATGAAGAAGGCTTCTTGGTTGGGCTGAGAACATGTCATTAGTCTTTCATGTTATTCTCCATAATTGAAAATCATGTCATAGTTTCCTGTAATACACATTCAACACATTTTATATTTCATGGTTAATTTGAGATAAAGTTAAGACCCAAAAGATCTTTGATGAATATCGAAATGATGCGCAATATACGAGCATGTGTCAACAGTTGTTTGCAAAATGTCAAAACAGATATGTTGAGCTTCTGTGAAGTTTGAAAACCGATGCCATTCCGGATCTTTTGTTGTCTTCAAGGAAGATGCAACATAGACATTAAAGGCAGTTGCAGAAACAAAAATAGAAGTGAATCAATCAATTCGTTTGAATCATAAACTCTGAACAAAAAATCCTTCAGAGCAAATAAGTTGACCTGTATTTTTTTGGCTTGATAACGTCCTTTTATAATTATAAACTTGTAAATACAAAAGAAAGATTAGCAGTGTGTTGAGAGGTTTTTCCGTATGTAATAAATTTTATTGAAATGATCGAATACGCAATTTATCTGAAATTTGTGTCGAAAGTTAAGGAAAATAATTTCATTTTTTATTAATGGTGCTATAGATATTTTAGTTTAAACTTCTTAGTCTAAGATACCAAAGAGAAACATTAAAACTCTTTGTGATCTGAATCTTTAGCATTTATAAATTACTAATACAAATGTTTCCTTACGCACCATTCACTAAAATACCGTTGAAAAATAATAAGACGTTCATTACTATTCCATACAATTAGAATATATTACGCGACCCACAAAAGTAAAAGGTCTTTTTAAATAAGCAACTTAAGAGTTTGACCGGTATTCGGCTTGATTAATTTTCGTGCTAGAATTAGTACTCAAGTTGTTTTAATAGCTACTAAAAATGTTTTAAAAACAAAAATAATATATGACTATACAAGTAGAATTGGTAAACTTCTTGAATAGAGTATAAAAGAACGTACCTCTGTTAAATATTATGCTTTTCATTTTTTTTCTTTTCTAAACTTTGTCTTTTCTATTTTTTTTTATTTTTAGTTGCTTAAGACGCATTGATATCGGTTGTTGAGTAGTTAAGATTTAGTCAATTTTTATTACAGTTGCTTATATTTAAGAATCATATATTTGTGTATATTTCAATAGAAAGAGAGAGAGATAAATATAGATAAATAGATAGATAGATAGATAGATAGATAGATAGATAGATAGATAGATAGATATTAACAGACACAGGTATGAATAGATATAGATGGGAATAGATAGATAGATAGATAGATAGATAGATAGATAGATAGATAGATATGGATAGACATAGATAAATTGATACAGAGATAGATACATAGATAAAAAATGTATAGATAAATGTGCATACGTCTGTAAATGCATATTATATAAAAAAAATGGAGACTACTGTGATTTCACATGATATTATAACGTACGAATCATATGCTTAAAACTTGGATTAACTCTCATAAGTTTGCGCTTGCATTAGTCTTGCAATTGCCAACAAGATTACATAAGAAAATAGCTTTTTTATGACAATAGACTTTGTGCCAACATGTGCAATCACCAGGATAACTTCAAAATTCTTCCCCAATAACCTCACCGAAAAATAAATAAACGTTGTGAATGGTGATGGCGATTCAGATTGTAATCTGGGGCCACCTCGATCAACAACAGCGACGCAAAGCTGCGGACCGAAATGACACGGAAAAAAATGATGACATGAACCACATAACAATAGCCCCTGCAAGATGAAAACCATCGGTCATGAGAGTTTTTTTTTTTTTTTACACGGCAATTGATATTCGATATCCCAGTTCGATAAAAGCTGATATGAATTAGGCTTTCAATAAACGATGAACACAAATCGAAAAGCATTTCTATCGGTGTTAAATACTTGATCATTAAGCAATAGTCTGAAGGGATTTGATAATAGTTCTATATTTATTATCGGGTTGAGATATGTGTGATTGATTGATTTTGTTTTTTACGGTTTATCAACCCTTTGTGAGTTATTTAAAGCCGAAATATATTTTTTCGATTGTAAGAACAACTCTTTTTTTCTACGAGTGAATATTGAATTAAAATATTTCGGAAATAAGAATGATTTTTTTTTCAGATATATTTCCTACAAACCAGAAGAAATTACTTACGACGTATGAAAAATATACAAATAGTATAATGACTTATAAAGACATTATGACTTTTAAAAACATTATATGAACATTTAAGCAATATAAATTTAGATAATTCATTACTAATGACTGTATAAATGTTTTTAACTCAGAAAAATAGTTTTCAGAATTCATATAATTACTAATCGTTTTACAAAACTGAGAATGAGGAGGACTGAAAAATGATGAACTGGATTCAAGAAGATAGAAGAGAAGAGTTGAAATCTTTTGATTTCAATAGTGTGTGCCCCCTACAGAACGTTCTCAGTTATGTATTTCAGGATCATTTTCCAACATATTCAAGATGATCTTTGCCCTCTCTAACCTTGTAACTATCTGTCCTTTTTGTGTAACACGGTGCCTCATAGGTTTCACGAACGATTTCATTTTCAAGTAATTTTACACAGTTCTTTGGACTGTAATATCTGAAACTCTATCCTCTCTCACATGCAAAACATCTTATGAACTGAGTTGGATCTTTTGTAATTGATTTTTTTAGATCTAAATTGAAATGGTGACTCTTCTTCCTGTTGTGACCTCCTGATCCAGTTTCCTTTCTATTTTTAAACTTATTCACCGTTCTCTTGATGTCTCTTGAATGAACTTTGAAGAGGGAAGCCAGAATATGAATGTTGGTGCCATTACTGAAGAACTGGATGATCTTTTCATTCTCAGCGTTGCTCAGTTGGGAAGGCAGTAGGTCCGACACAAAACCATTTTAACTTGTCCTCTTTTTAACTGAATAACTCAAAGAGTTTTTCAGTGATTCTTACGAAAGATTGCGTCAACATAACTACATATCTTAACTGAATACCTGTAAAAGTTTAGAGTTTATTTTTTTAAATATTAAACATTTTGTGAAATGGATAATTTTTCTATTACACGATTTGGACAATTGTCCTGTTAGACCCAGTACACACACACACACATATATACATATATATGTATATATATATATATATATAGAGAGAGAGATAGATAGATATTATGACTTTATATATATGTTTGTTTGCAAAAGTCAAGTCATTAAGTCATAATATATATATATATATATATATATATATATATATATATATATATGATATATATATATATATATATATATATATATATTATGATATTTATATATATATATATATATATATATATATATATATATATAAAGTGGACATTAAATTCAACACCCCAAAACGACAGCCTGTTTCATGTTAAGCGCTATCATCAGGCCTGAAGATTGCGTATAAACATGAAACAGACTGTCGCCTCTGGTTGTTGACTTCAATGCCTACTTTTATGTTTGCATACGCGTTATCTCTGACACTGAGCACTTTAACTCATAAATGAAGCATACTTTAAAACTATATGTTATCATATATCTATCTATCTATCTCTATCTATCTATATATATATATATATATATATATATATATATATATATATATATATATATATATGTGGCATCTAAATGACAGAAATATTACACCAAGAATAAACT